CGCCTCCGGAGGGTGGGAAGGGGATGGGCGGTGATGCTGGGGAACGGTGGTCTCGCGTGCTCCCTCGTGGGAAGAGGGGCTCTTGCTTCAGGGCCTGCCTCGCCCCTCCCTGGCGCTGGCTTCGCTGCCGGTGACAAGGGTGTGACAACGCAGGACAGCTTTCCCGAGGATGGATAATGAGTGTTTGCAAAGGGCTTTGCCCGCCCGGGGCGGGAGTCGCTGCTGCGGCGGATCCCGGCGCTTCATTAGCGTGTCGGGTGATTAGTGCGAGCAGGACGCTGCGGATCGCGGGGATAGAGCCAACGATAAGCGCTTTGGAGAGGGGAAAAAGCTGTTTAAGTTGCAAGTTTGATGTTTTCCTACCTGCCAGCATAGATAGAGACAGGCAGCTTGGGGTTATTCCTCAGAAGCTGCCAGGGGAGGCCAATCGCCCCCCCAGACCCAGCGGGGTGGGGATGCCCCATCCAGGGATCGTGGAATCACAGAATGGTTTGGGTTGGAAGGGTCCTTGGAGATCACATCTCGTTCCAACCCCCTCCCAGCACAGGGAGGAAAGGGCTTTGATTGTAGGATCAGAAAGAGCTCCCAGTTCCTGGACTTGGGCGTTTGAGCTCCTGCTGGGCCGCGGTGCCTGGCTGGAAATCCCCGCTGCTGTTTGATGTGTGCTCCATGCCCAGGCGGTGGCGTGGTGGTTGGAACACCCGATCCTTCCCAAATTCCCCCAGTGCCCTGCAGCAGGCTGGGCCGGCTGCTGCTCTCTGTTCCCTGCCCAGACACCCACCTCGGGCTGTGTGTGGAGCAGGGCACGGACACTTGGCACTCCCAGCTCCTGCCACACTCAGAACTCGTGTGTTTTTCCACGGTCCTTTAGCATCACGACTGGGTTGGACAGGGCTTGGAGCAACCTGGTCTAGTGGGAAGCGTCCCTGACTGTGGCAGGGGCTGGAATGAGAAGGTCCCTTTAAGGTCCCTTCCCAGCCAAACCGTTCCATCATTCTCTGATTTTCTCCTCTGTGGCTCACAAACATTCTGAACAGAGGGATTTCTCCCACCCCGTGGGTCAGGGTGTGCATTTTACGCTCGGGCTGGTTCCCTTTTCCCCAGCACCTGGCAGCAGTGGGGGCTCTGGCTAGAGCTGCTTTCATGGCTTATTTTTTCTCTTATTTTTTCCTACTTCTGCTTTTCGAGATGAGCAGATGGAGATGTAGGAAATTCTGTGAAGCTGTAAATAAGCCAGGCTGAGCTATAAATATGGCAGCTTTTGGGATGGGTCCTGCCCATTTTGGGCTTGGGCCCAAAATCTGGGGTCTGGCCAACCCCTCGTGCTTCGGAGGAGGGTGATGCTGTGGGGTGTGGCTGGGATTTGGGCGAGGATGAGGTCAGGGTGATGTTGGGGACTAACACACCCCTCTGTCAGAGCCTGGCCAGGGCAGCTGGGCACGGGGCAGCTCAGCCCAGGTCCCCAGTTCTCAGCTGAGTGCCTTGACTGGACATGGGGATGCTGAGAGCAAGTTTGGCCAGAGCACCCAACACCTGCAGCTGGTGGCTTTTCATAGTGAAAGTACCCTTTGCCTGGAGTTTCCCCATGGGGGGCCCAGTTTAGCAGCCCCCTGGGGCTGGTCAGGGGCCTGGGGAGTGCTCACCTGCCCGGAATGGAACCAGCACAGGCATAATTAGCACCCTCTGTGGCCCTGAGGATGTCACCCAGCAGTGAGTGTCCTCCCCCTGACCCACCTGCATCTCCTGCACCGGCACTGGGACCCTGGTTTTGGGGACCCCCATTGCCACGGTGATGCTGCAGGTGCCAAGAAGTGCAGGTGGGACAGGAACATCACCTGCACCACCTCCCTGCCGCTCACAGGGTGGTCACAGTGGTGCTGGTGGCCCTCAGCGTGGTCTGGATCCCCATCCTGCAGAGCTCCAGTGGTGGCCAGCTCTACGTCTACATCCAGGCTGTCACCAGCTACCTGGCTCCTCCCGTCACTGCTGTCTTTGTCCTGGCTGTCTTCTGGCCCCGAGCTAACGAGCAGGTACATGGCTGGGGTGGCCCTGGGGACAGCCTGGGGACATGGGTGGTACCAACACCCCCGTCTGCCCTGCTCCCAGGAACCCAGCAGGGCCTGGGGGGTTGTGGGGCGGAAGGAGGAGGAAGGGAGGGGGCAATGCTGGAGGGGCTGGTGAGAGGAACCGAGCCTGGCTGGTGTTCCCCTGGGAGCTGGTGGGTGTCTGGTGCGAAAAAGAGGAGGAGGAGGTGGCAGGTGCTGCCATGCATGGCCACCAAGTGTGGCATGGCCAATGGGGGTGGCAGGGGACATCCCCTGCAGAGGGGGGCCAGGGCTCAGCCGTGCCCCAACACGCAGGGGCCACTGGACCTTCTCCCAGGGCTGGCTGGAAGGAGCAGCTCCCAGGGGGTTTGTCCCTGCTGTGGGGTGACCATCCTGCTCCAGCCACCCCCCCATGGACCTTGGCTTTGCAGGGAGCTTTCTGGGGCCTAATGGCAGGGCTGGTGCTGGGACTGGCCAGGCTGGGGCTGGAGCTGGCACACCCCACACCCCGCTGTGGGGTCCCCGACCAGCGGCCCTGGCTGCTCACTGACATCCACTACCTGCACTTTGCTGTGCTCCTGGCCACTGCCACAGCTGCTGTCGTGGTGGGGGGCAGCCTGCTGACCCCCCCACCACCCCCAGCCCAGGTGAGTGGGGCACCCAGACCCCTCACCCTGTCCCCCACTGGATCTCCTAGGATGGAGACATCAGTGTCACCCTGTGCACCCTGAGCTCAGCCAGGGGGTCCCCACAGGGGTCTGGCCTGGGAGTGTTTTCTCAGTAAATCTCACTCTGGTTTCCAGCTGAAGGATCTCACCTGGTGGACCCTCTCAAGGGAGCCCCCCCAGCCCCCTGTGTGTGGCACATCCCAGGGACCCCCCGATGGTGAGTGTGTCCTTGGGGGTGTCTGGCAGGGGAGGCACAGCAAGATGGCACAGATATCTCCTGCCAGGAGGTGGCTGGTCACCAGGGCTGTCTGTCCCCCACACTCACTGTATTTCTGTACCAGGTTCCTGCTCATCCAACCCAGACATCCAGCAGCCATCCAAGGCCGTGGGACCCCCAGCTGTGGCCCTCAAGGACACCACAGAACCTCCATTCTGGGCCCGTGTCTGTGGCATCAATGCTGTTGTCCTGATGTGTGTCAATATTTTCTGTTATGCCTATTTTGCCTAGTGCCCAGCCAGCCCCTGGAGAGGGGAAAAGCTGCTGGGAGGGGGGGGGAAATGGGGATTTGGGTGATAGCTTTTATTTGTCACACTTGGGACACGTGATGTTTAAATCCACTGGTGCAGTGAGCTGGGCATTCTCAGCACTGTGGACCCTGAGTGCATCCCAGGGGGTGTGAGGTGTGGGGGGCACTTGTGAGGGCAGCAAGTCCCTGGGAGGGGTTTGGGACAGGGATTTGGGTGGGAAAATGGGGGCTTCACTGGGAACAAATCCACAACAAAGCAGCAGGGGCATGAATTCAGAACAGGACCACCTTGGCAGTGGTGGGAAAGGAGCAGTCACACTCGTGGGTGTCACCCGAACTCATTTTACTAGCTCTAAATAAAAAAAAAAATACCATAAAGCCACAATTTGCAGCTATGAACAGCACCCACAGGACTGAATCCCCCTGGATCAGCCTCCCCTGGCACCTGGAGTCCTGGCATCCCTCCATGGGGTCACGGAGCCCAGCTGCATCCTGGCTGCCTGCAGCCCTCCCTGGAGGTGGGTTCTTCGCTTACAGGGCCCGGAGAGGAGCCAAGGTTTGGGGGGCACTTGCTCTCCCCCTCTGTTGCTGTCATCCCACTGGACTGTGGCTCTGGAAAAGTTTTCATGGCTGTGGGGATGAAGGGACACACAGCCCGTGTGTGGGCACGAAGCGGCTCCGGTGGGTGGGGGCAGTGGGGCGGGTCCTGCCGCGCCCGCGGGGCCGGGGGGGAGTCACTTGCGGAGGGGGTGGACGTAATTCCGAGGGAAGAAGCCGACCCGGCCGTAGATCTTCCCCTGCCACCAGTTGGGGTCAGGGCAGTCCAGGACCTCGATGATGTCCCCGCGGAGGAAGGGCAGCTGGGAGCCCTCGTGGGCTGGGAAGTCGAACTGGGCTTGCACGAATCGGGGTCTGCCCACCTGGAGGGAAGTTGAGGGCAGGGGTTGGCGGGGGGAGAGGGGTCCCCATCCACCAGCCCCTCCGCACCACGTTGCTCTGTTTGGGTCCCCAGAGTGACAGGGACATTGTGCCACTGTGGGACAAGGACCAGCCCTGGGAGGGCTTGGGGTGCCTATTTTGAGGGGAGAAAGGGAAGCTAGGAAAATCCTGCCATGGGAAGAATGGAATGCTGGGGATGGCCCTGAGTGCAGGGAAGAGCCTGGAGTGCAGGGGAGCACCCTGGGGTGCTGGGGAACATCCTGGGGTGCAGCCACAGCCTGGGGCTCAGGGCAGGGCCAGGGATGCAGAGCAGCACCTTGGGGTGCAGGGAAACACCCTGGGGTGCAGGACACAGCCTGGGGTGCAGAGGAGCAGCGTGGGATGCAGGGAAGAGCCCGGGGTGCAGGGGAGCACCCCAGAGCCCAGGAAACTCCCCGTTCCTGCTGCTGGGAGAGCCAAGATGGGTGCTCAGGGGACCCCTTCCCTTTGGAGGCAGCTGGCACTTCTTCCCAGGTCCTTCCCAGGCCCTTCTGGGTGCTGGAGCCTCTCCCATCCCAGTTCCCAAGGTCCAGTTGTGCTGCCTCCACAGCCACTGCCCCAGGGCTTGGCTTTGCTGGAGTTTGCCCCAGGCTGGCTGTGCCCTGTCCTGGGCTGGTCAGGCTCTGCCACCCGCCCCAGGCAGCATCCCTGGCCCAAGAGATGGTGGCAAGTGCCTGGGGTGACCTGCCTTGCCCTGCCCTGTTCTGCCCTGCTGAGTTCCTCTGGGGCCTTTTCCTCCCTGCAGTGCTGCTGCACCCTCTCCTGCTCCACCCTGGAGAGCCAAGGGCCAGGTGTCCCAAGGATGTCCCTGTCCCCCCTCTGTGGGGACACTGAGGCTTGAGGGGGCTCACACAGGGGTTTGGGAGCAGCTGTGCCATCACCCCACACCCCAGCTCTGCATGTCCCCATGGCCCCTTCCATGGCTGTACCTCCTGGCTCTGCTCCTCGTCCCGGAGGAAGATCTGCTGCTCTTTGGCGATCGTGGTCATCCTGTAGAAATCCACCAGCTCGTTGAGGGAATTGAACTTTTCCTCCCAGAGGAAATACTTGCCATTCCTCTCTCTGAGCACCTTGAAGTGCTGGACATGCTTCCCGTAGCTGTGGAAGGAGGATGGATGTTATCCTGGCCTTGGGACGCTGGCAGCACCCAGACGCTCTTCTGGCAAGGTAGGAAAACCTGGAGGTGCTGAGGAGGTTGGAAGGAGCCCAGGGGTCTCATTATACCCATCCTGCCATGGTGGGGATGACTGGGGTCACTCCTAGTCCTGCAACAAGGGCTCACAGCTGAGACCTGCTACAACTCATCCCACAGGCAGCTGAAGCTCAGTCCCAGCCCTGGCACAGAGGGATGCCTGTGGGCTCAGGGAGGGCAGTGTGCCAGCCATGTGCAGGGCAGGTGGCTTTGTCCAGGGCCACATCTGAGGAACGTGTGGTGAGAGCTGCAGGTCTCAGCTCAGCACGTACGGGGGAGGAGGTTGAAAATGTTGGGATTGGGCTCCCAGCTTCCCTGCACTCCTGGGGACCCCCAAGCCGCAGGAGGATGGGACAGGCCAGGATTTCCCTCACAGCCCCCCATGCTGGCACCCCTTGGAGTGTACCTGGGGGTGCCAGGTTGGGGTGTCTGCACTGCAGGGACCTGCCTCTGCCAGAGCCCCAGGCAGGGGCAGGACCTGCCACGCTGGTGACGCACAGCAGAGCACGGCTCCCTTTCATTATGGGCAAGAACCTCCCGAAACGTTTCATTAGGGATTAGCAGTGTGAGAAAGTGCCTGGTTGGCCTGGGGCCGGCTCCTGCTCCCCCAGCTGGGGCAGGGAAGGGGCAGCGATGGGATGAGATGCCCGGAGATAGGCTCTGCCCTGGCTGCCGATGCCAAAGGCATCAGGATGCTGCAGCCCTTCATGCCTGGGGATGCTCCCGGCAGCTCGTTCCCGCAGGCCGTGTCCCCTGGGCTGTGCTTGCAGATTGTCCCCAGCTCCATCCTCACCCACAGGGCTGTGTTTAGGGGTGCCCCTGGGAGGGACCCCGGGCGAGGCAGCGGTGCAGGCAGCAGGAAGCAGCGGGGCTGGAGGAGGAGCGCGGGGATATGGGGGGAGGAAGGAGAGGAAGGAAAGGAAAGCCCTGTGCGAGGCTGTGCCTGGATGTGCCGGGACATGGCTCCGCAGCCCCCAACCCCTTCGAGGTGGGGGGGACAGGCAGGGTGCTCGCTCCTTCCCCAGCACTGTCACAGGGACCCCACGCAAGGGTGGCCTGATGCCTCAGTCCCCAAAGCGGGGGCTGCAAGGACCCCCATCCTGCCACGTGTCCCAGGGCCACTCACTTGACGGAGATGGAGAATTCCCCCGGGGTGCTCTCGCTGTCGCGGATCAGGAAGGCTCCCACGTGATTGCGTTTGAGGAGCTGCTTCTCTGCCAGCTGCCGGGAGATCCTGCCCGCGTACCACCTGGGAGGGACACCGGGTTGAGCCACACGGGCAGCCCTGGACACCCGGGGACACCCCAGTGCCACGTCCCCACCCTGCAGGATGGAGGCAGCGAGAGCCCCGCTGCCGGCAGGAGAGGGGTCTCCATAGGGCTCCACACAGGGCTGGGAGCCACCCCAGCAGTCACTCCCTTCCCTCCCCCTCCCGATTTATTGTGGGGTGAGGCACCACAGGGTGCTGTGGGTGCAGAGGTGTTCCCACATGCAGGGTGAGCACAGCATCGCTGACAGCCGCGACCGCATCCTGTCACCTGCCCGCTCACATCACTCCCTCGTCCCCCACTTTGCTGCCTGTCCCCTCCTTCGTGTCCCTTGGCCCCTTCCAGGTGTAGAGCAGAAAACCCTCCATGCCAGGATAAAAGCCTCCATGCCAGGATAAAACCCTCCTGCCTGCTTTGGTGGCAGCTGCCAAAAGGAGGTGGAGGAGCAGAGTCCCCATCTCCCATCCCTCCCAAGGCCGTGTCCGGGCATTTCAGACCCTCAGGCTGTGGAGACCCTCTGCTACCTGTCCCATGAATGATCAGCCACAGACTTCAGCCCAGAGTCAACCCTCCAGGTGCTGCATGGAAGAGGCTGCACCTCAGCCACCCCGAAGCTGGAGAGGCAGCGGGATGTGCCCCAGGCTGCCTTGAGCCCACACGTTTGCTCTGGCATTGAAATGTGATTTACCGAGGGCTAATGATACATAAAACACAGGTTAAATCAGGGATGGATTACAGTGGGCTTTAATAACACGGTAATAGGATTGTGTCTAATGCAGTTGTAATCCCGTAACGCTTTGTTGTTCCCCAATTATCATTTATTTAGTGGCAGCTCGGTGCGAGGGTTGGATTTTGGTGTGTTGGGGGTACGTGGGTGTTCCTCTGCCTCCTGTCCCCTGGGGCTGTGGTGGCAATGGCAGACTGATTGAGCAGTCAGACCCCATCTCTGTGACTCAGCTTCCCCAAGTGTGGGACTACCCTGGCTCGTGGCAGACCTTTGGGAATTGGGATGCACCGTTGGAATCGCTGCCTGGGTGGTGGCACGTGCTTGAGCCCCCCTTCCCCACACGGTGGTTTGGCACTTACGGGTGTGGCTTGACCTTGATGTAGTTTTTGGGGACAAAGCCCTCGCAGCCAAACAGCTCAGCCTTGTACCAGTTCTGGTCATCTTCCATGTTGAGGATCTAAGGTGAGAGAGGAACAGGGAGGCATCAGCCTGGCTGCTGCTCCCCTGGGACAGGGGCCGAGTGGGACCCCCATTGCTGCCCCAGACCCCACATCACCCACCAAAACCTGGGGAAAGGGGGCTCTGCCAACAGTGACACGGTCTGGGGGGGTTTGGGGGCACCTGGATGCTCCTCCCAGCCCTCCTTGGCTTGCCATGGATGCCAACAGCTGGGAGGTGCCCGTCATTGTCCCAAACCCCTGATGAGGGAAGAGGGTGAAATCTGTCCCTGGAGTAGCCGGGACATCAGCCAGGCCTCACGTCCCCCCAGGATGGTGGCAGTGGGTGCCCCATGGGAGGAAGTGCCCCAGTGAGAGCAGGGTGCTGACACTCACTTGTGTGTGACCCCATTTTCCAGCGTCCCACGCAGGGGCCCGGGGGTGGCACAGCTGTGCAAACAGGATCTGAAACCCCGGGTCACGGTCTGGGGCCACGGGGAAAACACGCCAGGGACGGGCACGGGGGGTTTGGGGCCCTGGGTTACAGCCAGGCTGTGCCCTCACCCCTCCTGGGGGTGGCTGCACCCATGAGGGGCTACAGGGTGCTGGGGGACCAGGAGGAGTTGCCAGCATTGCAGCATCAGCCCCATGGACAGAACAGCAGGGGAGGGTGTGGGTGCTCTTACCCTGTCACAGGGCTGCAGCCCCCCCGGGATATTCTGAGCCCCCCTGATGCTTTTTGGGATTCCCAGGGGGCATTTAAGAGCCTGTCCTGATGCCAGTGCCTGGGTGGGTGTTTGGGCACATGCTCCCAGCTGCTGGATCCCTGCAGCCCCCAGTGCCTCAGTGGGGCAGGAAAAATGTGTTCCAGCCCTGGGGGGCTGCTGCAGAGCACAGCTGGTGGCACCAATGCCATGCCACATGGCCACATGCCATGTCCCAGCTGGGCATGTCCCTCTCTGGAGATGTGCTTGTTGGCACAGACAAGCAGTACCCACTGCTGGGAATGCTGCTCTGCACCCCAAAATCCTCAAGGTTGGCTCCTTATACCCCACAGAGGGCCCCAAAGAGGCAACAAAGCCAGGGGCAGTGAAAGCATCGGTGTCACCCTGTGCCCTGTGCTCACCCTGTCCCCTAAAAGCAACAGCATCCAACCTCCCCTGTGGCTGGTGACCCCCTGCCCTCGGTACCTTCAGGGTGTCCCCTTTCTGGAAGGGCAGCTCGTCCTTCTCCGTCGTCTGGAAGCTGTAGAGAGCCACTGACTCCATGGCTGTCACCAGGGGGTCTGGAGGGGTGCCAGGGGGCTGCCTGGGGCTCAGCACCCCACGGGGCTCTGGGCTCCGGGCCGAGCACACGGCGCGGCAGTGCCGGCGGGCAGGAAACCGCGCTGATGTCACGGCACTGCCGGAGCACCACGCGGGCACAGCTGCCCAGATGTGCTCAGAGGGGTGGGGAGCTGTGCCAGCCCCCCTGGGTGCCAGGGGACAAAGGGATCTCCCAGGGGATCCGGGTACATCCCCTCTGCGGTGGGTGGTGGGCAGCAGTGGGGATTTGGATGGAAACAGGACGGTGATGGGCTGGACACGGGTTGAGGATGTTGGGAAGTGTGTTTGGAGGGCACGGGCAGGCTGGCAGTGCTGGGGAGAGAGTCTCTGATTTCTTGTGAAGGCTGAGCTGCCAAAAGGTGGCTTGGTGGGAATGGTTGTTGCAGAAGAAAAAAAAAAATCCCATGGGGTGGGAATGGCGGAGGCGGAGGGCGGTGGGCGGATGCACACACCTGGATTCTTTGGAATTCAGCTCGAACACTCCGTGTCCCAGCTCCGAACAGTCAGATCTCAGCACAACTGTCATTAGCTTTTTGGGTTGTGTCCCTTTGGTGGGTTGGTTTTTCCCAGCTCTCTTTTGCAGGGCTAGGGAATGAAAATCCCTTTTGGACTGGAACGACTTCCTGCAGCTCTCGTGGGAGTCAGGCACTGAGCGTGCAGGGCTCGCCCGCCGGGTATCGTTCCCAGCGGGAAGGTCTCCGATGCTGTGCAGCCTTCCTGTGTGTGGGCTGGGGCACGAAGAGTGTGGAAAATCCACCAGACACTGGCTTGCTTTGCTGTGAGGAATTAAAGCAGGGACAGCTGCAGCTCAGGCCCTGCCCATGGATTTGGGCACTTTCCAGCGAGGAGCAGGATGCCGCTGCCATCTGCCCAGGGTGGGATGAGCCGTGGTGCTTGCAGGGCCACTGTGGGGACACGGGCTCGGTGATTCACCTCCTCCAAACCTTAATCCCAATTCCTGACTGCATCCAAAAAGCAAACCCCATATAAGACCCCACTGAGGCCATTTTCAGGCTCTCACGCCCATGGGAAGAGGAGAGGGATGTGTAGAGTGGCCCTGGGTGTCCCCACACCCAGCGAGGCCCCTGTCCCCAATGGTTATCCCTGGGATCTGCTGGTCCCAGGGGAAGCAGAGACACTGGGAAGGCCTGGAAGGTCAGGGAGGCCGTGGGAAGAGGCTCCATGTAAGCTTGCCTGTCACATGGAGGACTGGACTCGGTGGATCCCCATGTCCCAGAGAGACCCAGGGGATGGGAATGCAGCAGGAAGAGACCCAGGGGATGGGAATGCTGCAGGAAGACAGCTCTCTAGAGCTTCCCCTACCCCTTGGCAGCCTTGACGAGGATGGAGCTGGATGTTCCCAGGGGAAACCAGCCCAGCAGAGCCACTGTTTCAACCCTGCTGTGACCAAGGGCCTGATCCTGTCCCTGTGTCCATCAGCCCAAACTGGATGATAGGAAGTCCATTCCAGGGTGGAGGAATGGAATTCCATTTCCATGGTAAGGAATAATAGGGCAGTGGGGGGGATGACTGGGCACTGAGAGGTTGGTGTGGGAGAAACCTGCAGCCGAGGGAGAGGGTTTTTGGGGTGACAATCTCCGTGCTGTAGGTAGACACTGGGAGCAGTCTGGGGGCTCAGCTTCCTGGGGCTGGGAGCAGAGAGGCTTGGGGGGCACCCTAGGGTGTCTGGGCTGGAGCCATGGGTGGTGCCACCTGCCTGGGCGTGGGGCACAGGACAGTGGGGTCACAGAGGGGTCCCCAGGCCTTGGCACAGTGCTGGACTCAGGACCGCAGCAGGATGGGATCCTGCCAGCAGATGGCAGCAGATCCCAGAGGGACACTGGGGACACTGGGGACACTGGGGACACTGGGGACAGGCCACCTGTCCCTCCGTTCCTGTTCTAAAGGAAGCAGGCAGGTCTGTCAGGTCTGTCCTGCCACCTTCCACATCACAGCCCCTCCCCGACCCCCTTCCCTCGCTCCATCCTTCCTGCTGCCCCAGCTGTGGTCCCTGTGCTGGGTCCATGTCCCTTCTGCTCACTGGTGTCCCAGTCGTGGCTCGCTGTCCCCGGCTGCTGCCTGAGCACACGTGGTCACTGTGGGGGTGACAGCAGCCCCCCGACCTCAGGAGTGATGCCAGAGCAGTCTGTAGCCCCTTTTCTGGGTTGGGAGCAAAACACTCCCATGTCCAGCTGGTTTCTGGGTTTCTTATCCCAACTCACTGCCAGGGAGCAGGACAGGATTCCCTGATGCCAGGAGGGGAGCAGTGCCCAGTGAGGTGTTTGGTACCTGAGCAGCATCTACTGCCTCCAGGGAACCCCTTTAGGGAACCCCTTATCCTGGTACTGCAAAACATGAGACGCCTGTCACATCCTGTTGTCCAGCTGTGTCATTCCCTGGCAAAACCCTTGTGCCTGCTCCAAATCTGCCCCATGCCATGCTCACCCGCCCTCAGGAGAAGCCTGAATCCTGGAGATGCCTGGCCATGAGGCTGTGCTGCTGAGCCCTGCAGGCTCCAACTGGGAGCCAGTGTTTGGCTAACCATGGGCCTGAGACATCCAAGAAACATCAAAACAAGGGGGTTGGTTTTTTTCCACCATCTCCCCTCTTGTGCCTTGTCAAGCAGCCACACTTTGTGCAGCACACCCTGGAGCAGAGCAGGGCAGAGCCTGTCCCTGCAGTGCCAGGGATATGGGNGGATGGAGCTGGATGTTCCCAGGGGAAACCAGCCCAGCAGAGCCACTGTTTCAACCCTGCTGTGACCAAGGGCCTGATCCTGTCCCTGTGTCCATCAGCCCAAACTGGATGATAGGAAGTCCATTCCAGGGTGGAGGAATGGAATTCCATTTCCCTGGTAAGGAATAATAGGGCAGTGGGGGGGATGACTGGGCACTGAGAGGGTTGGTGTGGGAGAAACCTGCAGCCGAGGGAGAGGGTTTTTGGGGTGACAATCTCCATGCTGTAGGTAGACACTGGGAGCAGTCTGGGGGCTCAGCTTCCTGGGACTGGGAGCAGAGAGGCTTGGGGGGCACCCTAGGGTGTCTGGGCTGGAGCCATGGGTGGTGCCACCTGCCTGGGCGTGGGGCACAGGACAGTGGGGTCACAGAGGGGTCCCCAGGCCTTGGCACAGTGCTGGACTCAGGACCGCAGCAGGATGGGATCCTGCCAGCAGATGGCAGCAGATCCCAGAGGGACACTGGGGACACTGGGGACACTGGGGACAGGCCACCTGTCCCTCCGCTCCTGCTCTAAAGGAAGCAGGCAGGTCTGTCAGGTCTGTCCTGCCACCTTCCACATCACAGCCCCTCCCCGACCCCCTTCCCTCGCTCCATCCTTCCTGCTGCCCCAGCTGTGGTCCCTGTGCTGGGTCCATGTCCCTCCTGCTCACTGGTGTCCCAGTCGTGGCTCGCTGTCCCCGGCTGCTGCCTGAGCACACGTGGTCACTGTGGGGGTGACAGCAGCCCCCTGACCTCAGGAGTGATGCCAGAGCAGTCTGTAGCCCCTTTTCTGGGTTGGGAGCAAAACATTCCCATGTCCAGCTGGTTTCTGGGTTTCTTATCCCAACTCACTGCCAGGGAGCAGGACAGGATTCCCTGATGCCAGGAGGGGAGCAGTGCCCAGTGAGGTGTTTGGTACCTGAGCAGCATCTACTGCCTCCAGGGAACCCCTTTAGGGAACCCCTTATCCTGGTACTGCAAAACATGAGACGCCTGTCACATCCTGTTGTCCAGCTGTGTCATTCCCTGGCAAAACCCTTGTGCCTGCTCCAAATCTGCCCCATGCCATGCTCACCAGCCCTCGGGAGAAGCCTGGATCCTGGAGATGCCTGGCCATGAGGCTGTGCTGCTGAGCCCTGCAGGCTCCAACTGGGAGCCAGTGTTTGGCTAACCATGGGCCTGAGACATCCAAGAAACATCAAAACAAGGGGGTTGGGTTTTTTCCACCATCTCCCCTCTTGTGCCTTGTCAAGCAGCCACACTTTGTGCAGCACACCCTGGAGCAGAGCAGGGCAGAGCCTGTCCCTGCAGTGCCAGGGATATGGGAGCATCTGTGCCCCCATCCCTGTGCCCTGCGTGTTCCCCGTGTTCAGAGGGACCCAGGAGGTGCCACGTGGTTGTCACTGGTCGGGTGTCAAAGCCTGCAGCCTGGAGCAAGGTGCTGAGCATCAGCCCAGCCTGCAAGAGATGCCAAGGGATCCCAGGGAGCTGCACTGCATCACCTGAGGGCATGCAGTAGTGGGTGGGAGCCCACCTTGCCCTGGGTTTAACCACCAGCCCATGTAGCCTCTCCCTCCATGCAGGGGAATTCCATGACCTTGGGGACAGGCAGTAGAAGGTGCTGGGGGCTCCGGCATTGTCCTTTCCCAGCTCTATGGCTGCTCTGGGCACTGGGAACTGCCTGGAGCTCCTGCTGACTCCCAGGTTGCCCAATCTGCCCAGCCCCTGTTTCATCAACATCCTGTGTTTACCTGGCTGAAAAATCCCCACTCGAGAGGGAGGAAGAGGAGGGAGGGGAGCCTCTTCCCCTTCCGCCGGGGGCCTGGGGAGCTTTGTTGTGGAGCCACCCCGGGCTCCCCCGGCTCCTCTCTGCCCCGTGCCCCTGCGCTCCGTGCTGTGCCATGGCCCTTGGTGCTGTCTGGGGAGGATGGGAGAGCAGGGGGTGTCTCCAGCCTGGCTTTGCCTCCCGAGGGGCTGTGAGCTGGGCCTGGATGGTGCAGGGCTGGGCAAGGTGAGCTGCCTCCTTCCACAGCCCCTGGAGTGCACGGGAGGCTTTGCTCCCGGGAGCGAGCAGGGAGAGGGACAGGTCCTGCCCCATCCCACAGCAGTGTGACAGGGGTTGGGAATGCAGCACAGCCTGGATTTAAGCTCTTGCCTGGATGCTGGATGTGGATAAACCCAGGCACGCAGGTCAGCAGAGGTGTCACTCGTGTTGCTGTCTGTGCCTGGCGATGGGATCAGCCCTTGGGATGGGGATCCGGATGTCTGTCGAGGGCGATCTGGATGTCCCTCGAGGAAGTGGGTGCCCCAC